CTCCCTCGGCGGGAACCGGCGCGGAGGAACCGCGTCCCCCTCGGCCCTCGCTCCCCGGGTCGCAGCTCCCGGCCCCGGCCACACGAGGCGAGCGGGACCCGGGGGTGCGGGAGGGCTCCCCGGCTCCTACCGCACGGCGGGATCATCCTCCCGTGGGCCGGGAGGAGCCCCAGGCCGGGCTGTCGCTGGGAGGCTGCAGCCGGTGTCCCCAGGTTTGTAATTCGGAGCGTCTCATCCTACCCGGCCGGCAAGTGAGCGCGGGCTGGCCAGGCAGACCAGAGGGAGAGCAGGACAAACCCTGCTCCAGGCGCTCGGCTTCCCCGCGGGCACAGCGCGGCAGGAGGAGGAAGAGCCGGAGGATCTGGCCTTGCAGCTCTTAGCGCTTGTTCCAAACTTCCCCTCTTCATTCCTTCCAAAACGGGGGAAGGAAGGATAACCCTGCAAACCCACCTGCACGTCAACAAGAGAAGGAAAGAAGACTCGGTGCTGCTCACTCATCTGTTCACTAGATGACAATTCAGCATATCCTTAAGTTTTACTGAAAATACCGGTCTGCTGTGCCACTGACTCCAGCACTGCATAATTTCACATTATGCCTAAACTGAGCGGCTGCTGAGCTGCTACAAGCAGCAGAGCTGCTGCCTCTCACCCTTTTCTCCTTGCAAAAAGGGTTCTGGGGGCAGCCCCACAGCTTTATACTGAGGTGCAGCTGGGACGAGTTATCCTGCCCATGGGCAGGTGAAAACCATTGCAGCAGGTCAGGAGGCAGGTGAGGGCCAGAGGAGATAGTGTTTGTGGTGGCAGCAGTCCCTGGCTGGACTGGATTAAGTGTATGATGAAAGTTGACCTTAAAGCCATGTTTTGTGGATATGTGTGTAGCACCTCCCCACAGCAGAGCAAACCCGTGCAAACTAATGCTAATTCTGTTGAACTAATGGGGCTCTAATGGGGCTCGTGTTCAGCGCCGGCTGGTGCTGACCGCCAGGCTCTCACTACTGACCATTTGTTTTTCCAGCAGGGTGGAGTCAAACTTTTCCCCTGCTGCAGCCTATTATGCCACTGAACTCATGTACTAAATGAACCAAAAAAACTGGTCACCCTGTCAAGAACATTTATTACATCCAGTTATGCAAAGTGTCCACGAGGCCACTTCTCTTTGATGTCATTACACGGGCAGTTTACAGCAAGGCCATGTAAGAAAACAGGAAAACAACGTGTCCAAGGGATTGTCAGAAGGAACACCGGGCTCCACCGAGACTGCAGCCCGGCACTGCCTGCTGAGTGCCCTCTGAGCAGCTCTAACTGTTACCCTTTTTGTGTGCCCAGTGCAATAAATACACATCCCACGCTGCTTCATGTATCATTAATATTTTGTGGCTCTAGAGATAGTTAGTTATTTTTACAGACTTATAAACAGTGCAACAAACCACAGGTTTTACTTTGGAGAGAATTTCCTTGTTCAATACTGCGTGCCTGAGATACCCCTGTCTGAGAAAGGAAACAGAAGGAAACCTCCATAAAGCTGCAGCTAGCAGGGCTCTCCGAGCACTCACCCAGCAGCTCCTTTTCTTGCCATGTGCTGGGGCTACCTGTTGGCAGCCTCAAGGGTGAGGGCCCTGCGTGAGAGTCCTGCCTTCCGCAGGCAGCAGATCCAACCCTGGCACAGCCCAAGGCTCCACTCCTCCCTTCTCACCTTCCCCAGTGGAGCCAACCGGCAGGAATGATCTTACCTGATCCGGGTGCTTTGAGGGCCTTGGTGGGCATGAGGACAAGAAAATGGCCCTTCTTGGGCATCGCTGCACGTGTAGGCTGCTCCCTTGCCTGAGGAAAGGAGAAAATTACAACTCTCAAACACTGCATTATTTTACGTTCTAAAACCTAATCACAGTGGATAAAAACAATGTCCCAACAGCTCTCTAAAGTGCGTACTGTGCCCAACCCACTCGTGGGGTCAGCTGCCACTGTGCTTAGATTTTCAAACAGGATCTTGGTGCAAACAACAGCAGTGCCTTGTTGTAATCTTCTTTAAATCCTGAACACTCTGCTCTTCCACGATGCCCACAAGAACAAGATAACTAATGATTGCTGATATGCTACGTGCTTTCTTATATTTATATTTCTTATATTTAAGAAAAATGATTATATTTATTTTAAAAACTCTTTGGGCAGTTTATCCTGTGTTTGGGAAATGGTCTCATGGTCCATTAGGGAAATCTCTAGGTGCTACAAGTAGTCATAATAAATTTACAGTAAACTGAAATATAAGGAAATTAAATGATACATGTAAAGCATCATAGGCAGTAGGACAGATAGTCTGCAAGAAAAAAAAATGAAATAAACTTATCAGTATGTTCCACAGCTTTTGTCTGCATAACTATTATGTTTTACTCTGTTCCAGACTCTTTAGGAAGGTTGATTTATCAGCTCAGAAAATGCGTCTTCAAAGAGACAATTATGAAAATAAAGACTGGCAAAATCTCAAACAATGTGCATGTGAACAACAGCTCCAATGGAGGCTCCAGATCACATAGATGGTGGGGACTCAAGTGATAATCTGGTAAGAGAAGGCAGGGACAGAGCGACAGGCAGGGCCCAGCCATCCAACCACCATCAGTTTAGGCTGTTGCTAATGTTATTGTCAAAGAAATAAAAAGGGGCTGACTTGAACAGAGGCTACTATCACTGGTGATAGGCTTTATACTACAGCAATAAAATCAGCAGCACAGAGTTTATTTGCTCTGATAGTGCCTCGTTGAACAGTGACATATGTTTACATGCATCAGTTCTTCAAAATAAATTGTTTGATCTTTTCTGGTTTGTAGCAAGGAGCTGTTGTAAGCAGCAGGAAACATTTCTCTTCTTAAAACACACATTTCTTTAGAAATTGTCACAGTTCACATCTGCGCAGCAGACACATAATTCAGCAGTTACCGGGCTTGGGCAGCTGGCTGTTTCTGCAGCATTGCAATGGGAGCTGCAGGGAGCACCTGATGCTTCCTGTGCTTCAAAGTCCACGGGATCAACGCAGGGAGCCAAAATGCAGCTCCTTGTTTGTCAGGGCATGACAGCTACACGTGTGATTAAGGCTCTGGCCGCCCCGTGTTAACACACCAGCGTCACCCTCTCACTGCAGGGCAATGTCTTAGAGCAATCTAAAAAATAGTTTTGCTTGTGGCAGCATGAACCAGGTACCCACTCAATGTTTCCCAGAAAATAAAAGGAAAACATAGTCTCTGCTGCAACAACCTTATGATCAATAATACATAGAATAAATATACATTTTTCAGTCTACTTAGGTATAATTTTCCAAAAGCATTTAAGAGTCCTCTAATCAATGCTGTGTATATATAAAACATGTAAGATTATTTTGGCATCACCATCCAGAAGGCTACTTAAAGATTTACAACAGCCTTAGCATCCAGAAGTACCACTTGTGTCTTGTTAAGCCAGACGTTATTCCAGATAGACATAATTGTTCTCAGATTGTCCAGTGGTTTCAATGAGGTAAAGCAAATATTCACTTTTTTGCTGGATTTTTTTCCCTGTCATTTGAGCTCCCTAAAAGGAGTCACCATAAGATCAGATAAGATCAAAAATCAGTGCAAAGGCAGAAGCAGGAAAGCATAATTGGTTTGTGCAAGAGGGCAGGATTAGAGGGCAGCTTAATTGTCATGGAACAGCCATAAATGCAGTTACGTTTGTCATGGAGTTGTGTTTGTCTGAAGCTAATGTAAAGTGGGACTAATTCAGACCCACGGGGGAGAAACAGACGGACTAGTTTGGAGCAAGCATGCTTCACTGAAGGATATAATTTTACAATTAATTGCAAAATAAAATATCACCTTATAATAAATAAATATCCCAGAAAAGTTTAAACAGAGCTGACCTTAGAAATGACAGTATCCCTCTGCTATGGTAATCAAATCATCTTTAAGGAATCTAACGAAAAAGGTTGTATTATTTCACAGTACAGATTGTCAGCTGAACTAACCTTCGCTCCCAAATGCAAGAATGCCAGGCTGACATTTCTGTAAGTTAATTAAACATTCCCTGAGCAAGCACTCCTTACTTTGAAGCCCTAAGATGTGCAAGGCAGATTATGAGTGACATTTCACTACATTATGGATAGCTGAACTCTAATTAAAAACAACTGACAAGAAGGCAGGTTTTCACGTGTATTTTCCTAATTAAATAAAATGAAAAAAAAAATCCCTTTACTTCTGTCCAGTAGCAGGAGTCTGTGCGTATCGGGATGCCCTCAAAGTTGCTCCACGGGAGGTCTCTCAGGGCACCTTTCACAGAGAGCTGGCAGTGCCAGGGCAGCACTCTGCATTTTTGGGTGCCTCCCCTTGCACTGGAGGTGGATGAGTGCGTGCGGCGTCAGGAACCCGAGGGCACCAGCACGACAGCGACTTCTGTCTCAGCGATATTACTCCTAGGGAGAAATAGAACATGAAAAACGCTTGAACAGCAAACGAAGATCAGTTTCATTCTTTCTTCACTGGTTTGTTAAATATCATTGCTGAGGTTTTCTTAAGAGTTAATGTTAAGCAAGCATCAACATTTCTGCATTTAGGATGAGTTTGTATTTAGTCAAAATCGCCAGATCATTTATTTGTCTCCCCAGCTCCCTCTGGAGGCTGGTGAACAAACGCTCCTGTTTTGCAATTTACCATGTTAAAAAGCTAAACCCTGAGAATAAGGATTTCCCCTACAACCAGCCCCAGTGTAAGCAGCACGGGATCTTCCCAGGCCAGCTGCAGATCTTTCTCTTTGGTCTCTAATCAGAAAGAAACCTCCTTCCCAGCCCACAGCTGCAGCCTATATAAGGGATCAGGCTGGGGTGCCTTTTTTCTTGAATATTTTGGGGGAGGTGGTTTTCTTTTTCTTTTCCTTTTGCTCCAGCCCTAAGGAGCATGGAGAGTCCTTGGAGGTTCTGTGTTTGTTTCTACTGCTGGCTTCACTGGCTTTCTTCCAGCATCCAGTGTTCCCCCCACTCCAGGGATCGTGCGGTGTCTGGCAAAAGCCCGGGGTTCCTGTTTGCTCCGGAGGACAACCCCCATAGGCTCCATCCGTTCCTGCGGCTTCCCAAAGGCGTGAGACGGGGATATGCTCTCCTGCCTCCCCTGCTCAAGGTGCTGTCTGACCAGGGGCGCCGGAATTGGCAGAGCGAGTCTCCCCGGCTCCAGCCGGACTCCAGGGCCCTCAGGTACATGAAGAGGCTCTATAAGATGTCTGCTACCAAGGAAGGCATCCCCAAGGCCAACAAGAGTCACCTCTATAACACTGTTCGCCTCTTCACTCCGTGTTCCGAATGCAAGCACCGCCACAGGGAGCTCATGAAAGGTAGGTGGGGAGCGCCCGGGCTGGTGGGGTGCCTGGGGCCTCTGCACTTGCAGAGGAATCGGAAAATACCTTATTCCTTTAGAGCTTCTAGCTCTGCTAACCTTAACAGTTCTTCCCTTAAACCAGACCTTTTCCATGACCTGCTTTTCCTTGCAGAGCATTGGACACTCGGTTCACCACAGTCTGGGAATCCATATGAAAATGGTGCTGTGGTTAGGATCATATGGGTGTTTGAGCCTAACTCCTTAGGAGACAAAGAATTCAGCAATTTGCTTTAAGTAAAGCAAAAAGCTGTCTAGCTGTCTAGCTGTCTAGCTGACTGTCTAGCAATCATGTTTGTCCACTGCTCACTTTTGCTTTCTGAAGGCTGTGAAAACTTATAATTAGATTTGTAACAGGATGTTAAGAATCCCATTATGAGATGACTTTTGTCCTTGTTTTGTACTTTTCCTAGGGAATAATTATAGCCTAAATGTGTGTTTTTGTTTTCTGAGTCAAATACTGTTGAAAAGCAACTGTTAGCTTGCTTGTTTTTCTACTATTTAAGTAAACTACTTCTAACCTTTGAAGTCTTAGATTTTCTTGTTTTTTATTTTCTTATTTTATAAATCTTACATTCCTAGCCAAAGTAGAAACTCAATGCGATAAAAATGAGGATGGGCATATGTGCTTATTTTTTTTCTGACTCCTTCCTAAGTATTCACTAGAGCAGAGTATTTATGTCATGGTGGCAAATTAAGACATACTAATTCTACAAGATTTTGTTTCTGCCTTCTCAGGAGACATTCACTCGGTGGATTTGCTCTTCAACCTGGATCGTGTGACTGCTCTCGAGCACTTGCTCAAGTCTGTCCTGCTCTATTCCTTCGACACGTCGGTTCCCATTTCTTCCCCCGCTACATGCGTGTGCCACTTATCCATCAAGGAGTATGATTTTTCTAGCCAAGTGTGTCCGAGTGCTTCACACTCCGTAGCTTTTAGTTTGCACTTTGAATTTAGAAAACGCAGGTGGGTTGAGATTGATGTGACTTCTTTTCTCCAGCCTCTCATTGCTACTAACAGGAGGAATATCCATATGGCTGTGAACTTCACTTGTCTGGTGGGTGATCCACAACATAACACTGAACAGGAGGGTTCCCTTAACGTGGCACTGGTCCCCCCTTCTCTTCTCCTTTACCTCAATGACACCAGCGAGCAAGCATATCACAGGTGGAACTCACTCCGGCACAGAAGGAAAAGCCCAGTGCGGCCCAGGCAAAGGGACACTCCGCTTGCCGACCTCGTGGATGACCTAGGAAAAGAAAACGCACAGAGCAAAAGGGCTTCTCGACAGCGAAGGGAGGAGGGCTTGAAAGAAGCTCCAGCAGCAGCACCCCGTAATTTGAGTGACTATTTCAAGCAGTTCCTGTTTCCTCAGAACGAGTGCGAGCTTCACAACTTCCGCCTGAGTTTTAGCCAACTGAAATGGGACAAATGGATAATCGCCCCGCACCGGTACAGCCCCCAGTACTGCAAGGGGGACTGCCCGCGCGTGGTGGGGCACCGCTACGGCTCGCCCGTGCACACCATGGTGCAGAACATCATCTACGAGAAGCTGGACGCCTCCGTGCCCCGGCCCTCCTGCGTCCCCGCCGAGTACAGCCCGCTCAGCGTCCTCACCATTGAGCCCGACGGCTCCATCGTCTACAAGGAGTACGAAGACATGATCGCTACTAAATGCACTTGTCGGTAGTGGGGAACCCTGGTGGTTTTCCTTTGGGTTGAGGTGTTTGTGTGTGTTTTCAGAGAAATCTGCAACTCTGTCAAATGAGCAACATTTGTGAGGTTCTAACAGCTCTTTATGATCAGCTAGGATTTAGCATGGGGCTAGTAGAGGGTGTTCACATAATAGCACTTATTTTTGTAGCCACTCAGCCTTTCTAGAATGTGAAGTTAAATGTAAATAATAGTTTTTACTGGAAAAATTTTGCATTTAAAATGTGGAAATGGTTTCAACTACCAGATATCCATTTTAAGCAGTTTTGTTATAGATTTACAAAAAAAAAAAAAGTAATAAAAAGAATAAATGCCTGTCATGCATACTGCTCATGTTTGATGCCTGTGTTTAGTCTCCCTCTATACAAAATGATATTTGGGGAAGTGTCTAGGAAGAGCAGGCACTATTTAACATTAAAGGTCACTTCCTCAACTGCTCATCCTTTTTCTCTAATTTATTTCAAAGAATCGGATGACTCTTCCTTACAGCTGTATTCACAAAAAAAAAAGGGGGGGGGGGGGGGGGGGGAGAAGCAGAACTGTAAACACAATTAAAGCTTTATCAATAATTGGTGATAGAATATTTTTCCAAATAATGTATTTACTTGATTACCTGGGGTTTCAGGACAGCTGTGTGGCAACTTGTAAAAGCCATTTTCTGTTGGGATAAGAACCTGTGGTGGAGACTTATGAGTGAGCTGTTAAAAACAAGACTGCTTGGTCTCTTCTGGGAATAAAGTGCAGCCTGTAGGTGAGGGTTTGGAACTCTGCATGTGAAACTGCTGCCTCATGCTTCTGAATCAGAAAGAAGTGTTCAACACGGTTGGAGATTTAAAAAATGCTTCAGAAGCCTGTTAAATCAGTTTATTTAAATGCCATTTAATCTCTCAGTAGTCCAAAATTAAATCTGAAGGCATGTAGGAGCAGAGTCTCACTTCCTCACCCAGTAAAAATCCAGGTAACTGCCTTAATTCCACATTTTCATGCTAACTTTCCAGTATGGCTGATTCCTTTTCTCCTGCATTGCTAGTTCAGGGGTTTTACTGAAAGCGCCTGCTTCAGGCTAGGGAGCCACCCTGGCACTCATGTGAGAATGGCTTTGGTGGGGACTGTGTATATACATGCATATATATAACTAACAGAAGGAGGTTGAGACAAGATTTGAATATGTAAGTCTCTAAAATGAGGACTTGCCAATATATCCAAGCATGGAATAATGACAGAGCAGACCCAAATGGACCTCAGTTGTGGACTGGGATTAAAAAAAAAATAGCACTACATTTGATTGATTTAAGGGAACTTCCTGGCCTACGCAGTGCTACTGCCATTAATTGCTTCCAAACACAGTGGGAATTCAGCTTCATCTATTGGTCGAAAGAATAAAACAAAGTTATTCTTTCCTTGGTGCAAAAGACGCTTATGTGCAAAAGCCTATTTACGAGAAAATGCTTAACTCAAGCTAAAGAAACTGCATTTGGGTCATTGGAAAATCCAAGGACTATTTCAGAAAAATGCAGCCCGTGTAATGGATTAAAGGTTCAGGCCGCATTCTTGGTGTACCCCCTCAGCCGGCTGCAGCACACGGTGTAGCTGGTGCAGGTGTCTCGCTCAGGGGTGACAGCAGGGTGACGGGATGGCTGTATGTGGCCATGCGTCAGAAGAACCCGGGGGTGGTTTCTGTTCCCGAGCAGTGAATAAACCTTCCGCTCTGGCCTCTGCTGAGCGCTCTGGCCCACAGCTCTTCCCCACGGTGCCCCCAAGCAAAACCGTATTTACCCACCCGCAAAATTCCGCCGTCCCTGGGAGAGCTGCGCTGTGGCGAACGGACTGTGCTGTCTGCCTGACAGGCTGGTCGACGGAGTGTTACAGCATTCGATTACCTGACTGGCAGACGGTCTGGCTGCCCGGCGAACCCGTGGTTTGGCTGGCCTGGGTCTTACAGACAGACAGCAGGACGGGACGGCTGGCGGAGGGGCAGACTGACAGCAGGGGGGCGGGTGGGCTGCAGAGGGACACGTTGGTGGCTTGGCTGACACACAGAGAGATGCTGGAGCCGGCTGACAAGGTCGGGCTGGCTGAGGGCTGATGGTTGGGCTCTCTGGTGGGGGGACACACTCACAGGACACAGGCTGACAGGACACAGGCTGACAGAGGGACAGGCTGACGGGCACAGGCTAACAGGAGGGACAGGCTGGCAGAGGGACAGAGCGACAAGGGAACAGATTGAAAGGGCACAGGCTGACAGAGGACAGGCTGACAGGGCACAGGCTGACAGGAACAGGCTCACAGGCACAAGCTGACAGAGCGACAGGCTGATGGGGGGATAGGCTGATGGGCACAGGCTAACAGGAGGGACAGGCTGGCAGAGGGACACAGTGACCAGGGAACAGACTGACAGGGCACACTGACAGAGGGACAGACCGACAGGACACAGGCTGACAGAGGGACTGGCTGACGGGAGGAGCAGGCTGACAGGAAGGAACACGCTGACAGGGACGCAGTCCGACGAGGGTGACACAGCCCCACGGGGACACAGTCCCGGGGGCTGACACAGTCTCACAGGGGCACAGCCCCACGGGGACACAGTCCCTGGGGGTAACACAGCCCCACGGGGACAAAGTCCAACAGTGGTGACAGTCCCATGGGGGTGGTACAGTCCCACGGGGACACAATCCGACGGGGACACAGTCCCACGGGGGTGGCACAGTCCCACGGGGGGTGACACAGTCTCACAGGGACACAGCCCCACGGGGACACAGTCCCTGGGGGTAACACAGTCCCACGGGGACAAAGTCCAACAGTGGTGACAGTCCCATGGGGGTGGTACAGTCCCACGGGGACACAATCCGACGGGGACACAGTCCCACGGGGGTGGCACAGTCCCACGGGGGGTGACACAGTCTCACAGGGACACAGCCCCACGAGGACACAGTCCCTGGGGGTAACACAGTCCCACGGGGACACAGTCCCACGCGGGTGACGCAGCCCCACGGGGGTGACGCAGTCGCGGCGGTGACGCAGCCCCACGTGGCCGCGCCCG